TAGCGGTTATTTGAGTTACTGTTGTCTTCTGGCATCAACAAGGCATTTGCGCCCACAGAACTGCCGCTCACTGGATATTTTCTCTTTTTCAGACCATTCTCTGTAAACCCTAGAGAGAGTTGTGCGTGAAAATCCCAGTAGATCAGCAGTTTCTGAAATGCTTTGACCGGCAAGTCTGGCAACAACAATTATGCCATGCTCAAAGTCACTTAAATCCCCTTTCTTCCCCATTCTGATGCTCAGTTTGCTGCAGCAGATCGTCTTGACCATGTCTTCATGCCTAAATGCATTGAGTTGCTGCCATGTGATTGGCTGATTAGAAATTTGCAGTAACAAGCAGTTGGACAGGTGTACCTAATAAAGTGATACCGCTGAGTGTATATAGACTAGCGGACATTTTAAGTGGAGCAAAGGTTTTTCAAAATTATCCTAAGACAAGAATGGGTGTTGTTTAATAGTTTGATACTTTAATACTTTGATGAAAGATTTTGATCCACTTCAAATGTTGACTACTATATATACATATATATTAGTGCTGTCAAAATAAGTGCTTTAACGCATGCGATTAATTTGAAATAATTAACGCATTAAAAAAATTGAACGCAGTTGCAGGGTTTTTTATTTCCTGTTGTGGTGGACGTGTGTTTAACATGCAAGAAATATGGATAAGACAAAGGAAGCACTTTTTGAAGGCAAGTTTCAGTATAAAACAATTAATGTCGCATCACCAGGCTCTCCAGAGTTTCATGCAATTTCAGGTGTTTTATTTTTAACTTTCGACTTCTGTTTTAATGGAATTTGATACCGCATGGCGAACAGAAAGAAAATCCTCTGCATTTCGTGACTCTGTGGTCCTTTAAGACAGGGGTTTCCCAACTTTTCAGCTCGCGACCCCCAAAATAACAATGCCAGTAACTTGCGACCCCCAATATCCTCTGAGGTGGTTATAAATACAGAAACCTTGCATGCAATGGGGCGCACACACACCAATAAACCCAAGTCTATTCTTCGTTATATTTTTTTTATGTATGTCAGTGCTGTAAATGTGCCAGACAGTTTAACCTGGTATTATAAAATCAATCTGCTGCATCTGACGCTATTGCTGAGTCTTTAATATAATGTAATTACCTGAGGGGGTCGCAATCCAATAGAACTAGTAACTATAAGCTACTAACTATATACAGTAGTGTATATAGTAACTGTAAACGACAATTTTTTTAGTAGGTTATGGATTAAAATGGTAATTATTATGGTTTAATAAAAATAAATAGATTTTTGGAAATCACCAGGCGACCCCCCCCTTCATTGTCCCGCGACCCCTCGGGGGGTCCCGACCCCCACTTTGAGAACCACTGCTTTAAGATAATCAAATCACTGCTTAGGCTACACGGTAGACTTTTAATAAGAGTATTATCTTAATCATATTAAAATCAGAGAATTGGTGTCTTATGTAAATGTTCTCAGAAATTTTCTGTTGAAGTCGCGAGCTGTCAAAGACAGTCCATTACTCTGCCTTTCAGCATGAGCCCTCCAAGTTTAGCGTGTTTCCTCATTAAACGCAATGAAAGTGTATGCTTTTATATATATATATATATAATAGTCTCCTGCATCTGACGCTATTGCTGAGTCTTTAATATAATGTAATTACCTGAGGGGTCGCAATCCAATAGAACTAGTAACTATAAGCTACTATAGTACCTATATACAGTAGTGTATATAGTAACTGTAATTGACAATTTTTTTAGTAGGTTATGGATTAAAATGGTAATTCTTATGGTTTAATAAAAATAAATAGATTTTTGGAAATCACCAAAATATTAAAACACACACACACACACATATATATATATATATATATATATATATATATATATATATATATATATATATATATATATATATATATATATATATATATTAAAACAATGCAAAAATGATAAGAAGTTACCAAATGATTAGAAACAAATTCAATTTGATGTGCTCTGAATTGGAAAATAGAATTTTCATATTCTATGCTATGCATTTGTGCAAATATTGGTGCTGTTAACCTCCTGATCTTTAGTTCAAAGTATAAACAAGCTTTTTAAACTCAAGCCAAACCTTTCAGTTTTTCGACTATTTCCTCCATGGGGTGTGAATTATAATATAGGAGCATTCAGAGGCAGAACATAAGTGTTGTTAAGATGCATGCCCAGCTTGCCTATTAACTTGTATGGCAGCATTTGCACAAGCTCTAGCGTTAACAGCTCTGTCATTACAGAGGCACATGCAGGTCAGGGCAGCTCGCGTTTATATAAAGATCAGATATATGCAGCACCATTCCAGTCTTCTGGACACATAGCATAACTAGAGAACAGCTGCGTCTTTCACTCACAAACAGAAATGCGCACACAAATACACACACAGAGATCCATCTATATTTTCCAAATTGCATGCATGTATATGAGATGGACGCATGGCCAGGCACACAAACATGCACAAATATGATTTTATATGTTTTTTCTAGGTTTTGGGACTGTAATTGCTTAATATTGTTGTTTTTTTAATATATGCATGAGTTCATTGTCTTAATTGCAGAGGTTTAACAAACACAGCCCACAAAGCTGGCACAGCACAACAGCAGAACACCTGCGAGATATATGTGCCCGTCTTGTGTAACAGGTTATTCAGTGTGGGTGTCTGCGCCCATTGGAAATTACTCACTTGCTAGTCTACAGATCTCTGAATGTTGGTTATGCGCTCTTACGACAGTGACAGATACCAGACACCGCTGCCAAATGAGGAATGAGAACCATGCAGATTGAGAGAGGACACCGTTTGCAGGCCTACAGCACTAACCTGATGGCAACTTGATCTATGTTGAGACATGGCTATTTTTTAGTCTCGTATAGATACTAACAGCGCTGTTCATATAGTGATGTGGGCTTTATGATTGCCAAATCACTGGAAAGCACTAAGTTATATCACAAAATAAGTTTGATCATGTGAAGCACATTTGAGACATGTTCCTGCTTATCACAGCCATGCAGCAATGCAAGTGATGTATTCGGTAACACTTTATAATAACTACACACTGTAAATCATTTATTAAGCATTAGCAAATAGTGAATTCCTTATCTATTAAGCATTAACTCTACATTAATAAGCGTTAGTAAGCAGTTTATAACTTCAGCTACATATGCTCTATTCTTGACTTATTTATACATTATATTTATAATGTGCTTAATAATTGTACTTTCATACTTTGCTAATGATTTATTTTTCTTGACTAAATTAAGTATCGCATTATTTACAAACCATTTGTATGTAAGAGTTGAGGGTTTTTAGAATAATTCAGAACGAGTTAGTAAATGATTAATAAACTATTAAAATCAACGTTTATATATCTTATTATTCAGGCATATATTAATGGTTACTATGTATGTTAATAAATGCTATATTAACTCAACTTCATCTAGTTTTGTGACCTAATCTAAAGTGAGGACTATTCATGCTTTATAAATCCCTTATAAATGACAAATAAAGGCTCAGTTAAATTCTAAACAGGAAAAATGACATTATTCATTCATATTCATTTAAAGATATACAAATAAAACTGTACTTCAAATCAAAAATAAATCTTTGCAACCCTATCTAAAATAACATCACTATAGAGTTTAAACATTGCATCTTATTATATTGTTAAATTATTATATTGTTGTTGTTTTATCCAGTTTTATGTCGTATTTTGACACTCCTGTTATTTTGCAATGTTTAAACTTTACAGTAATTTTACTTTTTAGAAAGATTATAGTTCATTTGATTCTGAGCCTTTCATTGTCATTTATAAAGGATTTATAAAGCATGAATAGTCCTCACTTTAGATTAGGTCACAAAACTGCATGAAGTTGAGTTAATAAAGCATTTATTAACAAATTAGCTAACTATTAGTATATGCCTGAAAAATAAGATATATAAACGTTGATTTCAATAGTTTATTAATCATTTACTAATTCAATCTGAATTATTCTAAAAACCCTCAACTACTCTCAAGTACAACTAGTTTGTAAATAATGCAATACTTAATTTAGTAATGAAAAATAAATTAACTAAGTATGAAAATACAATTATTAAGCACATTATATAGGTGCTTATAAGTCAAGAATAGAGCATTTGTAGCTGCAGTTATAAACTGCTTACTAACGCTTATTAATGTCGAGTTATTGCTTAACAGATAATGAATTCACTAGATGCTAATGCTTAATAAATGAATCATATTGTGGAGTTATTATAAAGTGTTACCATGTATTCAGTTGTGAAATTAGAAATCATTTCCTTTCAAATTCAAGCATGCAGATATACGAGCAGGTGTAATCTGCAATGTGCGACACCACATCAACTGTGATTGTATCTCACGAAACGCTTGTAGTCTTTCAGAAATATTAATGACATTTCTAGCAACCAGTAAGAAAACTGTAACTCGAATGCAGCTACAACTCGAACCCCCTTCAAAATCTGAATGGTTGGATATTGTATCTGAGTGTGGATACCATAGACTGTAAGATATATGGAAGCAGAATCCGTGACGTCACCCATAGGTTTCTGAAGAGCGCAAAACAAGCCACAAGTGCCCTTTAAAGGTTAAAGAAGTGCACTTTAAAATACTTCAAAAAATTTACCCTTGCAAAGCAACTTTATCTAAATTCATGGATATTGAGAATACTTGCACATTTTGTAATATACATGAGGAAGACTTATCTCATCTTTTCTATAACTGTGATGTCTCTCTTAAATTTTGGAATGATCTTAGTGACATGTTATTTGGGCAAAGAAATGTTAATTACAAACTATCTTTAAAAGATGTCATTTGCACTTTTTCGCACACAAAAAGAACATTCGAGTATGTTGTTAACTTCTACAGTTAACTTTTTTAGATGTACAAATACCAACCCAAATGTCTTATTTTAGATGATTAGCTTTAACGGATGGCTGCTGACATTAAAAACCTGCTCCAATTTCAGACTCTGACAGAGAGGACAGTCATGGGAATCCAGAAGCCAGAGTTTCACCTGTAGGTAGCCACTTGACAAACATTGATGTCTCCACAGCTAATAAGTGTTGGCTTTTATTTGACTAAATGTATCTCTGTTTTGTTTGCAACTTCACACATAGATAAACAACAAAAGACGGTCTCCCCCCTCAGACAAGCCTCCCTTTGGTCCTCATCCAAGTACACACCACAGCATTTCCACTGACGAACAGGACAGCCCAGAACGGATTGTAAGTACTATGAAGTCGAAGCTCAGTGTGAGATGTGGACACATCTCTTCATCTTAATTCCACATTTGCTTCCCAGGTTCAGAAGGAAAAACTCCATGCAGAACTAAAACAAGTTTTGAGTCAGAAGAGAAACCAGCTTAGAGACACCCAATCCACTTCCACAGACATGGATGAACCATCCAGGACAGACAGTAAAAACGAGGTAAGAATTAAAACATCACAACCTGAACTGCTCTTGAAATGACAACACAGAGCTAAGACACTGAGTCCATGTAAAATATGAAGGGATACCACTCAGAGCATAAGGCCACAACATACTCATGGGATGTGGTGTCATTCCTCTCTTAAGGCAAACATTTCAAAAGTTGTCCCTTGAGGCCCACTGTCCAGCAGAATGTAGATCCAATCCTAATTAAACACACTGGTTAACCTGCGGTTGTCTATTGAACTAAAGAGAAGAAATGGACTGGATATGTTTTTCACAACAAAAATGTTGTGCATAGAGATGGTCAACCTCTGTCCTAAAGGACCGCTGTCCTACAGAGTTTAGCTCCAATCCCAATCAAACAAACCTCCCTGTAGGTATCTAGTGATCTTCAAAGTTTGGAAGACTATGATTAGCTTGTTCAGGTGTGTTTGATTAAGGTTAGAGCAAAACTCTGGAGTTAGGTAAAAATGAAGTTAAGAGCCAGCTCCAAATGGGTAGAACTAAGACGGTACTCACACTATGTACAGTTGCCTCAAACCGAGCCAAAGCACACTTGTCCCCCCTCCCGTCTCCGTTTCGCCGAACAGATCCGCCACTTTTGGCGCTTATAAACAATCATAAAGCCCTCGTGCTGCAGGAATGAGGAGGATTGCTGAAGGTGCGGAGATGTCGTGCAGTGAGGGATTTGCATCTTTAATAAACTACAGCAGTTTGCATTCACTGAACAGTAAGATTGATTAATAATCCATATAAAACAGCCCCTTAAAAGTCACGTCTCTCTTTTAGTTTTGGGCTTTGGTGCGTTTTGCACTCACACACAAGCGTACCGCTACCGCGCCAAAGCCCAAGTGAACCACGCTCAAGCCCACCTCTTCCAACCGGGCCAGGGCCGGCCAAGTGAACCGTGCCTGAGCCCGAATCAGCGCACTCACACTTCTCAAACGATCCGGGAAACGGGCCTGGGCACGGTACGGATAGCATAGTGCGAGTAAGCCCTAAAGCTCCAAGTGGTCTGTACAAACCTCCTAGTGCATTTGATTTATTAAATTAATGTCTTTTAAGTGACAAGACTTACTGTGTTTTATAAAAGTCTACACCTACCCAAAGCCTAAACCTACTCCTTACAGCAATGAAAAACTGTAATTATTATAGAAAAGTGTCACAAAATTAACGTTGTAATTAATGTTGTAATAATAATATGTATTTATGTGCAGTGATTTATACTTCAAACTCTGCAGGGCAATGGTCCTACAGGACAGAAGTGGCCTGTCCCTTCCTTCCTTAGAGCCACACCTACCCATTATATAATCATGGAACAATGGTAGTTCAAAGCAGCTTTTCACCTAGAGAAACCTTTTCCAAACTTGTTTCAAACAAAACCGGGTTTGGGGGGGGGGGGGGGGTTGTTTTTGTTTAGTTTTGATGGTTTTAAAAAGAAGTCACACCAGTTACTTTAAACTGAATTACATTAGGGCCTTTAGTGTTATGCAAAATTACTTGGAACTTAGAAATCTTTAGGATATAGCCCAAATCTGGTTAGCACCTGGATTGGAGGCCACCTAGGAAAACAAAGTTGCTGTTGGTAGTGGTGTTGGTGAGGCAAGAAAGGGTGCTCACTCAGGGGTCTTCATGGATCAAAATGTCACAGTATATGAGATGTTAAACCAAGTCCTGACTCTCTGTGGACAATAAAAAATCCCATGGTTCATCCAGTAGGGATGTGATCCAGTGACCTGGCCAAAATTTCTCCATCGGCCCTTACCCATCCAGTGATTTGCTATAGTTGGGGTGTACTGAGCGCACTGGGGTGGATGCTGCACACTAGTGAAAATCTGTTTTTGTAAATGAAATATCTTAACTCTAAACCTTTACTAATCTACTTCAGGCAGAGAAGGATATGCAGTTGTCCGAGCTTGTGGAAGTGGTTGTTGAAACCGAGGCTGAAGTTGGAGCCAGTGGTTACAGTGTGGTTGGTGGAGGGGAGCGAGGCATCTTCATCAAAGATGTCTTAAAAGACTCCCCAGCAGCGAAGCACCTCAGCCTACAGAAAGGTACCAAGGGACTGTATTTTACATTACAAAGAGCAATGTCAAATACACTTTAAAGACTTGAGCCACTGTCCTTGAAAAGACAAGTAGGAGTAACCCCTTTGACCTCAGAATTCTCAAATGAACATCATCTTCATGTAAATACAGGTGTACTGAATGTGTTGCGTGATGTAGTAAGAATGCTAAGACAAATCATGTAAATTCTGAATAATTTTTGGTGATGTGTTATTGCAGGAGATCAACTTCTAAGTGCCAGGGTGTATTTTGATAACGTGAAATATGAGGACGCATTAAAAATTCTTCAGTGTGCAGAACCCTACAAAGTGTCCTTCTTTTTGAAGAGGACTGTGCCAGAAAGTGAAGTCAGCATACGTCCAGGTGCACAAACTCTTGATCTCAGAGGACCTAAGGCCAAGATGCAAAGAATGGTACATGCTGAAATATTGATATACAATAGAAAGACCTTTTAACCATCATCAGTATTGCATTTATTTAATGATTAAACAGTAGAAACTAGAAGGAATGATAACCTTTTTCTTGCAGAGCGTCAAAAGTGTGAAACCATTCAAAACCAAGAAAAGGAGAGGAGGAAGATTTGGATTGAAAAGACTGAAAGAGAATAAAAAAGCAAGAGAACGGGCAGAGCTGGACATTGAGGGCTTACATGGTAGATCAGACCTCAGTCCTGTTGATGTTGAGTTTGTTTTCCCAAAGTTCAAATTGAGGAAAGGTGGGAAATCCACTGCAGGTGAATCCGGACATCTGGAAGGCATGATCACTGGTGGCAAGAAGAAGAGGAAGATCCGATTTCCAAAATTGAAAGGCACAGATGCTGCTGTCAGTGAAGGGAATGTTAATGTAGATGTTTCAACACATGAGAAAGAGGGCTCTGGGGCAAAGCTGAAGGGCAGGGCAAAGGGTGCAAAATTTGGAATGAATTTCCCCAGATTGAAAAAATCTAAATTAGATGTAAAATCTTCAAATGATAATGTTGAGGTGAAAGAACAAGAGGCCAAATTAAAACCTCCCTCAGTAGACTGTGATTTCAACATAACTCAGGGCAAAGCTGAAGCTAATGCTCCTAATCTTGAGGTTGGTGGGAAAGGAAAAGGAGAGGGTCCTGAGATAAAGATGACAAAGATTAATCTGGATGTCTCAGATCCAAAGATGACAATCCCAACATTCAAACTGCCAAAGGTAAGACTTTCTTGTCATTCAGATGAAATTGATGGAGAGGCAAGTAAACAAATTGGCACAACTGAAAGTAAACCTAAAATGACAAATATTGACATCAAAACACCAACAGTAGATATGGACGTGAATATCCCAAAGTTTAAAATGGAAGATGTTGAAGGAACAAAAATCAACACACACAAATTTGACCCATCATTACCAAAGCTAAACCTTGATGCAAAGCAAATATTTGGAGATGAGATTGATGGATCCATGGTCAAAAAGCATGAGATTTCTCTTCCCAAACTTGACATTGAAGTCCCCGAGATAAACACATCAGATGTGGACATAGTTCTTCCTAGATTAGACGTGAGTGCAAAGAGCATTGATTCTGGGGGGCGTGTAAGTACAGGGGCAAGTTTTAAAATGACAAAATTAGACATCTCTCTTCCAAAAGTAAAATCTCCTGAGGGTGAGGTCACACTTGAAGGCCCTGGAGCAAAAGGTGGAAAATTTCACAAGCCAAATATCAGTATTTCATTACCAAAAGAGAGAACAGCAGAAGCAAATATAGGTCATTCTGAGAAAAAAGCAAATGTAAAAATGCCCCAAATAGATATTTCCCACCCCGAAATTTATTTACCACAAGGGCAAATTGATATTGAAGGGCCTAAAGGTGAAGCAAAGGTTGATATTTCGAATGAAATGACAGAGAGGGGTGCAGATATTAAGGGTCACTTTGATAAAGGGGGAAAGTTTAAAATGCCCGCAATAGATGTGTCCCTACCTAATGTGAAATTACCTGAGCATACCATTGCTGAGGGGCCAGCAATAAAAGAAGGAAAATTTAATATGCCATCATATGACACAGAAGGAAATGTTGAGGTTGGAGATCTGTCTGCAAAAGGGGGCAAATTCAAGATGCCACATCTAGATGTTTCACTTCCAAAGATGAATTTATCGACAGGTGAAATAAAAATTGAGGATTCGGGGGTCAAAGGTGAGAAAAAATCTTTACCAAAAGGAAAAGTAGAGGCTGGTGTTGAGGTTCAAGGTTATTCTGGAAAAGCAGAGATGCCTCAAATTGATGTTAAAGTGTCACTGCCAGAGGGTAAGGATATTAATGTTAAAACCTCTGGTAAACGTGAAAAGGCTGAAATGCCAAAGGTTGATATATCTCTCCCTGCGGTGAATTCTCCTGGTGTTGAGATTTTCTTGCCAAAAATGTCACCAGAAAGTGACATCAGTATTGAAGTGCCCGATAGTCATATCAAAAAAGGAGGAAAGTTTCAAATGCCCAAAATAGACCTTGCATTCCCAAAGATTAAATCAAGACCCGTGGAAGTAAATTTGGAAGGACCTGAGGTAAAAGGAGGTAAAGTTTACAAACCTTCCATAGACATTTCTTTGCCTAAAGATAAAACCAAGACACACTTTGAAACAGAAGGAAATTCTAAAAGTGGTATGAAACTTAAAATGCCAAAAATGGATAATTCACTACCAAGAGCAAAAGCTCCTGAAGGTGAAATGAAAGTTGAAGCAAAAGAAGAAACAATTGATATTAAGAGTGGAAAGTTTCACATGCCCTCTACATACATCACTCTGCCAGAAGCAGGAACTGGAGGTCATCTAGATGTTGAAGGACATGGAAAAAAAGGTGGGAAATTTGAAATTCCTAAAAATGATGTTTCCTTGCCTAAATTAAAACCATCAGAGGCTGAAGTCATAGTTGAATGTCCCGATATTCAGGGTGGAAAGGTTCACATGCCTTCTATAGACATCACTCTACCAGTTGGAGGAGTAGGAAGTGATCTAGATGTCAAAGGAAACAAAAGTAAAGGAAGAAGGTTTGAAATGCCCAAATTTGATGTTTCCTTGCCTAAACTAAAAACATTAGGGGCTGAAATCCATGTTGAAGGTCCTGATCTCAAAGGTGGAAAGTTTCACATGCCCTCTGTGGATATCTCTCCATCAAAAGGAGGGGCAGGAGCTGATGTAGATGTTAAAGGACGTGGAGGAAAAGGAGGACAATTTGAAATGCCCAAATTTGATGTTTCATTGCCCAAATTAAAACCATCTGAGGCTGAAGTTAACATTGAAGGTCCCGATATCAAAAGTGGAAAGTTTCACATGCCCTCTCTAGATATCTCTCCACAAAGAGAGGGAGCAGAAGGTGATGTAGATGTTAAAGCTCATGGAAGAAAAGGAGGAAAATTGGAAATGCCAAAATTGGACGTTTCCCTGCCTAAATTTAAAGCTTTTGGAGCAGAAATCAACACTGAAGATCCCAATATCAAAGGTGAAAAGCTTCACATGCCCTCTTTAGATATCTCTCTACCAGGAGGTGATGTAGATGTTGAAGAGTATGGAGGAAAAGGAGGAAATTTTGAAATGCCAAAGTTGGATGTTTCCTTGCCTAAGTTTAAACCATCTGGGGCTAAAATTAATGTTGAAGGTCCCGATATCAAAGGTGGAAAGTTTAACATGCCCTCTGTAGATATCTCTCTACCAGGAGGTAAAGCTGGAGGTAATGTAGATGTCAAAGCTCATGGAGGACAAGGAGAAAAATTTGAAATGCCAAAATTGGATGTCTCCTTGCCCAAATTAAAAACATCAGGAGGTGAAATCAACATTGAAGGTCCCGATATCAAAGGTGAAAAGTTTCACATGCCCTCTGTAGATATCTCTCTACCAGGGGGTAGAGCAGAAGGTGATGTAGTTGTCGAAACTCATGGAGGACAAGGAGGAAAATTTGAAATGCCAAAATTGGATATTTCCTTGCCCAAATTTAAACCATCTGGAGCTAAAGTCAATGTTGAAGGTCCCGATTTCAAAGGTGGCAAGTTTCACATGCCCTCTCTAGATATCTCTTTACCAAGAGGTGGAGCAGAAAGTGATGTAGATGTTGCTGGACATGGAGGAAAAGGAGGAAAATTTGAAATTCCAAAATTGGATGTCTCCTTGCCCAAATTAAAACCATCAGGAGGTGAAATCAACATTGAAGGTCCCGATATCAAAGGTGGAAAGTTTCACATGCCCTCTGTAGATATCTCTCTACCAAGAGGTGGAGCAGAAGGTGATGTAGATGTTGAAGGACATGGTGGAAAATTTGAAATGCCCAAATTTGATATTTCCATGCCTAAATTTAAACCATCTGGGGCTGACGTCAATGTTGAAGGTCCCGATATCAAAGGTGGCAAGTTTCACATGCCCTCTTTAGATATCTCTCTACCTGGAGGTAAAGCTGAAGAAGGTGTAGATGTCAAAGCTCATGGAGGAAAAGGAGGAAAATTTGAAATGCCAAATTTGGACGTTTCCTTGCCCAAATTTAAACCATCTGGAGCTAAAGTCAATGTTGAAGGTCCCGATATCAAAGGTGGAAAGTTTCACATGCCCTCTGTAGATATCTCTTTACCAAGAGGTGGAGCAGAAGGTGATGTAGATGTTGAAGGACATGGAGGAAAAGGAGGAAAATTTGAAATGCCCAAACTTGATGTTTCCATGCCTAAATTTAAACCATCTGGGGCTGACGTCAATGTTAAAGGTCCCGATATCAAAGGTGGAAAGTTTCACATGCCCTCTGTAGATATCTCTCTACCAGGAGGTAGAGCTGAAGGTGATGTAGATGTCAAAGGACATGGAGGAAAAGGAGGAAAATTTGAAATGCCCAAATTGGATGTCTCCTTGCCCAAATTAAAACCATCAGGAGGTGAAATTAACATTGAAGGTCCCGATATCGAAGGTAGAAAGTTTCACATGCCCTCTGTAGATATCTCTCTACCAAAAGGTGGAGCAGGAGGTGATGTAGATGTTGAAGGACATGGTGGAAAATTTAAAATGCCCAAATTTGATGTTTCCATGCCCAAATTTAAACGATCTGGTGCTGACGTCAATGTTGAAGGTCCAGATATCGAAGGTGGAAAGTTTCACATGCCCTCTGTAGATATCTCTCTACCAGGAGGTGGAGCTGAAGGAAATGTAGATGTCAAAGGATATGGAGTAAAAGGAGGACAATTTGAAATGCCAAAATTGGATGTCTCCTTGCCCAAATTAAAACCAGCAGGAGGTGAAATTAACATTGAAGGTCCCGATATTGAAAGTGGAAAGTTTCACATGCCCTCTGTAGATATCTCTCTACCAAAAGGTGGAGCAGGAGGTGATGTAGGTGTCAAAGCTCATGGAGGAAAAGGAGGAAAATTTGAAATGCCCAAATTGGATGTTTCCTTGCCCAAATTTAAACCATCTGGAGCTAAAGTCAATGTTGAAGGTCCCGACATCGAAGGTGGTAAGTTTCACATGCCCTCTATAGATATCTCTTTACCAAAAGGTGGAGCAGAAGGTGATGTAGATGTTGAAGGATATGGAGGAAAATTTGAAATGCCCAAATTTGATATTTCCATGCCTAAATTTAAACCATCTGGGGCTGACGTCAATGTTGAAGGTCCCGATATCAAAGGTGGAAAGTTTCACATGCCCTCTTTAGATATCTCTCTACCTGGAGGTAAAGCTGAAGGAGGTGTAGATGTCAAAGCTCATGGAGGAAAAGGAGGAAAATTTGAAATGCCCAAATTGGACGTTTCCTTGCCCAAATTAAAAACATCTGGAGGTGAAATCAACATTGAAGGTCCCGATATCAAAGGTGAAAAGTTTCACATGCCCTCTGTAGATATCTCTCTACCAGGGGGTAGAGCAGAAGGAGATGTAGTTGTCGAAACTCATGGAGGACAAGGAGGAAAATTTGAAATGCCAAAATTGGATGTCTCCTTGCCTAAATTAAAACCATCAGGAGGTGAAATCAACATGAAAGGTCCAGACATCGAAAGTGGAAAGTTTCACATGCCCTCTGTAGATATCTCTCTACCAGGGGGTAGAGCAGAAGGTGATGTAGGTGTCAAAGCTCATGGAGGAAAAGGAGGAAAATTTGAAATGCCAAAATTGGATATTTCCTTGCCCAAATTTAAACCATCTGGAGCTAAAGTCAATGTTGAAGGTCCCGATTTCAAAGGTGGCAAGTTTCACATGCCCTCTCTAGATATCTCTCTACCAGGAGGTGGAGCAGAAAGTGATGTAGATGTTGCTGGACATGGAGGAAAAGGAGGAAAATTTGAAATTCCAAAATTGGATGTCTCCTTGCCCAAATTAAAACCATCAGGAGGTGAAATCAACATTGAAGGTCCCGATATCAAAGGTGGAAAGTTTCACATGCCCTCTGTAGATATCTCTCTACCAAGAGGTGGAGCAGAAGGTGATGTAGATGTTGAAGGACATGGTGGAAAATTTGAAATGCCCAAATTTGATATTTCCATGCCTAAATTTAAACCATCTGGGGCTGACGTCAATCTTGAAGGTCCCGATATCAAAGGTGGAAAGTTTCACATGCCCTCTTTAGATATCTCTCTACCTGGAGGTAAAGCTGAAGGAGGTGTAGATGTCAAAGCTCATGGAGGAAAAGGAGGAAAATTTGAAATGCCAAAATTGGACGTTTCCTTGCCCAAATTTAAACCATCTGGAGCTAAAGTCAATGTTGAAGGTCCGGATATAAAAGGTGGAAAGTTTCACATGCCCTCTCTAGATATCTCTTTACCAAGAGGTGGAGCAGAAGGTGATGTAGATGTTGAAGGACATGGAGGAAAAGGAGGAAAATTTGAAATGCCCAAATTTGATGTTTCCATGCCTAAATTTAAACCGTCTGGGGCTGATGTCAATGTTGAAGGTCCCGATATCAAAGGTGGAAAGTTTCACATGCCCTCTTTAGATATCTCTCTACCTGGAGGTAAAGCTGAAGGAGGTGTAGATGTCAAAGCTCATGGAGGAAAAGGAGGAAAATTTGAAATGCCCAAATTGGACGTTTCCTTGCCCAAATTAAAAACATCTGGAGGTGAAATCAACATTGAAGGTCCCGATATCAAAGGTGAAAAGTTTCACATGCCCTCTGTAGATATCTCTCTACCAGGGGGTAGAGCAGAAGGAGATGTAGTTGTCGAAACTCATGGAGGACAAGGAGGAAAATTTGAAATGCCAAAATTGGATGTCTCCTTGCCTAAATTAAAACCATCAGGAGGTGAAATCAACATGAAAGGTCCAGACATCGAAAGTGGAAAGTTTCACATGCCCTCTGTAGATATCTCTTTACCAAAAGGAGGCGCAGAAGGTGATGTAGGTGTCAAAGCTCATGGAGGAAAAGGAGGAAAATTTGAAATGCCAAAATTGGATATTTCCTTGCCCAAATTTAAACCATCTGGAGCTAAAGTCAATGTTGAAGGTCCCGATTTCAAAGGTGGCAAGTTTCACATGCCCTCTCTAGATATCTCTCTACCAGGAGGTGGAGCAGAAAGTGATGTAGATGTTGCTGGACATGGAGGAAAAGGAGGAAAATTTGAAATTCCAAAATTGGATGTCTCCTTGCCCAAATTAAAACCATCAGGAGGTGAAATCAACATTGAAGGTCCCGATATCAAAGGTGGAAAGTTTCACATGCCCTCTGTAGATATCTCTCTACCAAGAGGTGGAGCAGAAGGTGATGTAGATGTTGAAGGACATGGTGGAAAATTTGAAATGCCCAAATTTGATATTTCCATGCCTAAATTTAAACCATCTGGGGCTGACGTCAATCTTGAAGGTCCCGATATCAAAGGTGGAAAGTTTCACATGCCCTCTTTAGATATCTCTCTACCTGGAGGTAAAGCTGAAGGAGGTGTAGATGTCAAAGCTCATGGAGGAAAAGGAGGAAAATTTGAAATGCCAAAATTGGACGTTTCCTTGCCCAAATTTAAACCATCTGGAGCTAAAGTCAATGTTGAAGGTCCGGATATAAAAGGTGGAAAGTTTCACATGCCCTCTCTAGATATCTCTTTACCAAGAGGTGGAGCAGAAGGTGATGTAGATGTTGAAGGACATGGAGGAAAAGGAGGAAAATTTGAAATGCCCAAATTTGATGTTTCCATGCCTAAATTTAAACCGTCTGGGGCTGATGTCAATGTTGAAGGTCCCGATATCAAAGGTGGAAAGTTTCACATGCCCTCTGTAGATATCTCTCTACCAGGAGGTAGAGCTGAAGGTGATGTAGATGTCAAAGGCCATGGAGGAAAAGGAGGAAAATTTGAAATGCCAAAATTGGATGTCTCCTTGCCCAAATTAAAACCATCAGGAGGTGAAATCAACATTGAAGGTCCCGATATCGAAAGTGGAAAGTTTAACATGCCCTCTATAGATATCTCTCTACCAAGAGGTGGAGCAGGAGGTGATGTAGATGTTGAAGGACATGGTGGAAAATTTAAAATGCCCAAATTTGATGTTTCCTTGCCCAAATTTAAACGATCTGGGGCTGACGTCAATGTTGAAGGTCCAGATATCGAAGGTGGAAAGTTTCACATGCCCTCTGTAGATATCTCTCTACCAGGAGGTAAAGCTGAAGGAGGTGTAGATGTCAAAGGACATAAAGTAAAAGGAGGAAAATTTGAAATGCCCAAATTAGATGTTTCCTTGCCCAAATTAAAAACATCTGGAGGTGAAATAAACATTGAAGGTCCTGATATCGAAGGTGGAAAGTTTCACATGCCCTCTGTAGATATCTCTTTACCAAAAGGTGGAGCAGGAGGTGATGTAGGTGTCAAAGCTCGTGGAGAAAAAGGAGGAAAATTTGAAATGCCCAAATTTGATGTTTCCTTGCCCAAATTTAAACGATCTGGAGCTGACGTCAATGTTGAAGGTCCAGATATCGAAGGTGGAAAGTTTCACATGCCCTCTGTAGATATCTCTCAACCAGGAGGTGGAGCTAAAGGAAATGTAGATGTCAAAGGGCATGGAGTAAAAGGAGGACAATTTGAAATGCCAAAATTGGATGTTTCCTTGCCCAAATTAAAACCATCAGGAGGTGAAATCAACATTGAAGGTCCCGATATCGAAAGTGGAAAGTTTAACATTCCCTCTGTAGACATATCTTTACCAAAAGGAGGAGCAGAAGGTGATGTAGATGTCAAAGCTCATGGAGGAAAAGGAGGAAAATTTGAAATGCCCAAATTGGACGTTTCCTTGCCCAAATTTAAACCATCTGGAGCTAAAGTCAATGTTGAAGGTCCCAACATCGAAGGTGGAAAGTTTCACATGCCCTCTATAGATATCTCTCTACCAGGAGGTAGAGCTGAAGGAGGTGTAGATGTCAAAGGGCTAGGAGGAAAAGGGGGAAAATTGCCAAAATTGGATGTTTCCTTGCCTAAATTTAAACAATCACGGGCTGAAGTCAATGTTGAAGGTGCTAATATTGAAGGTGGATGTTTTCAAATGCCTTTAATAGATATTTCTCTTCCAAGAGAAGGAGCAGAAGGTGATGTAGATGCCAAAGGACATCCAGGAAAAGGAGGAAAATTTAAAATGCCTAAATTGGACGTTTCTTTGCCTAAATTTAAATCACCAGGGGCTGAAATCAATGTTGAAAGTCCTGATATCAAGGGCGAAAATTCTCACATGCCCACTATTGATATCTCTCTCCCAAAAATTAAATTAGAATGTGAAACCGATGTTGGGCTAGAGAAAGAAGACATCTCAGTACCTAAAATAATCCATGGTGCCAGAATGAGTGATATAAATGTCCCTGAGGTAACTTTAGGTGGCAACATTAAACTACCCACTGTGAAATTACCAACTGTTGACATATCTGCTCCTAAGGTTGATCTGGACTTTTCTCTTCCAAAGGCAAAGAGCACTGACAGAGAAAATGTTGAACTTCTAAAGGCAGAGGATGGAAGGCCGTCATCTGGATCAAGTTTTGATGTTCCAGAGGTCTCTTTAAAATTGCCCAAGATTTCCCTCCCAAAATTTGGCAGAAAATTAAAAAGTGGAGACAAATTGGAATTAGAAAGTCCAGGTTTATCTATAGATTTGGACACGCAACTAACATCGCCCTCAATAGAAGCCGATGGCAAAATGAAGGAGGACAAAATCAAAATGCCATCAAGTGGAACGGCTAAAAAGGATATTGAAATAATTGGTCCTAATGCTGAAATCATGATACAGGGAAGTACTGGGGAAATTACAAAACCAGAAATAAAAATGGAGAGTCCTGATGACAAGGCCAAATACAAGCTCAAGTTCCCCAAATTTAAGACAACCATTCCAAAACCAAAGCTCAAAGATGTAGAAATGGACATGCCTGCAGTGGATGGCAAAGGAAAGGTCAAAATACCAGCAGTTGAGATATCACTGCCAACAGCAAATATCCCAGATTGTGAGGTATTGCTTCCAAAAACTGAAGTTGATGTGTCTGAAGCAGATATCAGAGGTTATGAGGGCAGTTTAAAAATCCCTAAGATGCCAACTATTGACATATCAGTTCCAAAAGTGGATGTTTCCTTACCTAGAATAAAACTGCATGAACCAATGGACTCAAGCTCGTCTGACCTAAACATTGAATGTAGTAAGGGTACATCACATTTTCCACATGTAACAATCCCAAAAGTAGACCTTTCACTTCCTCATGGAAAAACAGGCGATGCAGATAACCATGAGGTGGAAATAAGAAAGAGGGGTAAATTAAGAATGCCAGAAGTAGAAATATCATTACCTCATGGAAAACATAACACATCTAACAATGACATGGAAATTAAAGGTGAAAAACTACAAATTTCAGTGCCCACTGTTGATCCCGATTTAGACATTTCAGTTAAAGAGAGCAGATTGAAAATGCCTACGATAGATTCATCGCTACCTCATGGAATCAAAAGAGAAAGTCAAGTGCCATATTCAGAACAAGAAGGTGCAAAAATAAAAATGCCAATAGTTGATATATCGCTTCCTAATGTTAAACATAAAGATGGAATAAAACTACCAACAGTAGAGATCTCATTACCTCAAGGCCAAGTAGAAGATACTGATATTCCTGAACCTAGAGAGTGTGGAAAAGAAGGGAAATTCAAAATACCTAATATCGATAAACCAAAAGTTGATATATCATTACAAGGACAACAAGAGGCAACAGAAAAAACTGAGGTCAGAAGACAAAGTGGACACATTCAATTACCAAAAATAACAATGCCTAAAGTGGATATATCATTACCGCATCATTACCCCAAAACAGTTGACCCTGAGGCTTCAGGATCTGTGGGAGTAGACACTGATAAAATCCCCAAAGTACATATAGGAATGTCTAAAGATGCAGAGTTGTCTGATGAGGATAAAACGTTGACAATGCAAACTACAGATATAGAGATCCCTGGTGCAGACCTAGGGCTGGATCTTGACTTGTCGAAAAAAGGAAAAAGGAACAAAAAGAATAAAAAGAAGAATGAACCGCAAGATCCAAAGGGGCCAAAAGTTAAAGGGTCTAAATTTAATATCGGAATGCCAAAAGTAAAGGTATCTGCATCAGGAACTGACATAAACAAGACTGAGAAAGGAGCTGATGCGAACTTAAAAGCTGATTTACAAGCACCAAAAATTCCTGAAATTGATTTTGACATTGGCACAGCCCAAGTTGAAACTAACTTTTCTGAAGGAGACAAAAAGCAGAAAATCAAAATTCCAAAGTTTGGGATACCTCTCCCTTCTTTAACGTCACCTGAAGCCAACATCACGCCACTTCAGATAAAAGGTCACTCAATACCTGTAGACTCTGAAGTAGAATACGAGGGCCCACGTTTGCCAAAGGTAACGAAAGCAGTCTTTGTCATGGTGAATCCACAAACGGAGAGCTCTGCAAGTGCAGCTGGTGAAACAAGTGCCGAAATCGAAAAAGAAAAGCTCAAGCAGACAAAGATCACAATGAAGCAGAGTTTTGGCAAGTCAACAGAAAAGGGGAAAGCAATACATTACGGAGAGGAGGTTGAATTTGAAGGAAAGTCAAAAACTGGAAAGCTTAAGTTGCCCAAAGTCACATTTTCATCAGGCCAAAAAGGATCGTTTGATGTAACACCAAGTGGGTCTGATGATGGAGCAAGTCCAAGTCTAAATGGCGGCGACAAAGATGAAAGAGCAAAGTTTGGGAAGCTTAAATTGCCCAAGTTGGAGTTTTTCTCACCATATTCAAAAGACACAGAAGAGGAACTGGAAATAAGCATGAGGAAAGAGACCTCATGGGAACTCAAAGAGACCAAGGAGACAAAGACGACATCAAGCACAATGTCTTTCCCAGGTCTTAAGAAGAAACCAGGGAAGGATGAGGAGGTACAGGAGATTGGCACTTTAGTGTCCTCAAAAGCACGGACTGAAATGTTGGCAGAACGGGAGGGATCAGAGTCGCCAGCACACATTGAATCAGCTGGATTTGTCTCTTTAAAGAAAAGTGAAGAAAGAGAGGAGACGACATGGTTCAAAGTACCCAAAGTAACCCTCAGTCCCCATTCTACCGGCATCCTTCACATCACTCCAGAAAGCTCTCCGAAAGCAAGCAAGTCCTCTATTCCTGGCTCTAGTGAGCAAGCCTCTGGAGGTTTCTATGTGAAGATGCCAAGCGTTGAATATTTGACCCAGGAAATGTCCTCGGAGCATACGACAAGCAAAACAGAGGGAACTCGTACTGTAGTGACTAAGATGACAAAGTATACAGAAACAAAAACTAGCAGCTCCAAACAATAAGCATCTCAGTTACTGAATAGGTAGGGAAATATATTGGCTCAAATATATTTTTGCAAAAATGATTTGTTCTATTAGGCCAGGGGTGTCCAAACTTGGTCCTGGGGGGCCGGTGTCCTGCAAAGTTTAGTTTCAACCTCAATTAGACACCTGAATCAGCTAATCAAGCTCTTAGTAGGTATACTAGAAACTCCCAGGCAGGTGTGTTGAAGCAAGTTGGAACTAAACTATGCAGGACACCCGCCCTCCAGGACCCTGATTTAGGCAAACACAGCAAATATGTAGTTACAAACAGTATTATTTATTTATTGTAGACCTTATTTTCATGTTTTGCCACTCTGTATGACACTTCGAACTGATATATTTGTAAAGATCTGTCTCAGATCACACATGTACACATGCATTACACATGCCCAGACCCAAAGATATTTAAAGACATTGAATTTATTTTGGTTTTTGCGTTTCTTGTGCAATCCTGGCACCGTATGCCATTTATATTGAAGAGTTTTAAAGCATTTTGAAAATATTATATTGCTTTTTTTTGATGCCTGGTTTGTTTCTGTGGTTTTTGGGTGTTGTTATGGAATTGTGTTTATTTTAGATATTATTACAAATATATGTACTATTTTTACATATTTATATGCACGATCTGTACAGAAAAGACACACAAAAAAGCTTGTGATGTTGAGTACTTTTGTGATGCACATTTTTGTGACTTTTAAATACATTAAAAAAAATACAACGATTTCTCCCTTTACATTTCTTGTGAAAAGCTGTACCAGACAGCATTTCTATTCACAGGGAAGGCTCTGAATTGAAAACTTTGAGTGTGATTTTTTTTTCTTGTATTTTATTTTTTAAACTTAAACCTATTTGTTGTTTTGGTTGTAGAAGTAGCCTAAACGTCAGCTGTTTTATATGTATATTTAAGGTTTCAGTACTGAACTGCATGTTTGTAATGTGTTGCTTTTCTGAAACCGTCATTTTGAGGATGCTTATCTCTATCTAATGCAAAAATAGAACACTTAAATAAAACGTTAACATTATAATCAGTTGTAGCTTATTTTTCCTGATCCTTTTCCTTATTCATTTGCACATAATTCCACTAGTGTGGCATCGCTAACGATAAACAGTCCATTCCAGGGATACAGCAGGCATAACAATGAACACTACTCAACATTGCAACATACAGTAATACTGAACACACACAAAATGTTTTGTGACTAATAAAAATAACATCCAGATGAAAAAACAGTGGAAATTCTGACTTCAAAAATAGTGCAGCTTAGTGCGGCTTAGTCCCTTTACTCATCAGGGGTCGCCATAGCGGGATGAACCACCAACTTATCCAGCATTTGTTTTACACAGCGGACGCCCTTCCAGTTGCCCTGTCCACTCATTGACACCCATACACCACTGCCAGTTTGGTACATTTAATTCATCTATAGCACATCTCTTTGGATTGTGGGGGAAACGAGAGCACCTGTTTTCATTATTATACCTTTAAAAATAAAACTCTTGTTGTAGCAACACAATGTACTGTGATATAGGTGACATATCAAAGATTATCATTTGTAGTGATAATTTGGGTGACACAGTGGTTAACACTGTCGCCTCACAGCAACAACATCACTGGTTCAAGCCCCGGCTTGGCCATGTGGTGTTTCTGTGTGGAGTTTGCATGTTCTCACGTTTTGACGTGGGTTTTCTTCGGGTGCTCCAGTTTCCCCCACAAATCCAAAGTTATAACTGACACATGAACAAATAGTCATAATATTTAGACTTTTTTGGAACTGAAATGTTTATTATCCTTCTATCAAGATCCATTTTCATGCCATATAGATGTTTTTATGAATGTATTATGTGTTATATTGATATATCAGGCCTTTTGGTAACTTTTATTTGCTCAAATTAGTTTTAGTTACAAAAAAAAATGTTTTACCCATAACGTTTTGATAAAATAGAACATTTTAGGATGATTGTCTTGGTTTATTTTTTACCCTAAAGATTTTAAAATCTTTTTTATTTCAGATTGAGAGGTGTAATAGCAGTTTCAGACAATTGTTAATGCAAAGACAGACCTTACACCTCGCATATGAGAAGTGATTGCATTTTTATTTTCTTTTGCGCTTTAGGACTTCCATATCTATCTATCAAATGTACAAAAAATACAAAAGCAAGGGACGTCAAGGTGCTATAATCATTTAGTGAGGAAATTAAAATTGAGAAGAAATTTGGGTTGGGATGAGATGTAATTCTTTGTGATTTAACAGGCTTAGTGTAATTATACTTTTACTACTTCATATTATTTCAGTTGTGTTCAGAATTGTGAATGTATTTGTCTGAATCATGTTGACGAGGAAAAAATATCTTTAATATATTGATGCAAAATTTTAGCACTATCACTTTGTTGTTATAACATAGCCTAGTTGGATTGGCGGTGGTGGTGGTGGTGGAACCTGCATACCCCTCAGTAAATGTGTAGTTGTGCTCCTGGGTGTTTCCCAATGTTGAGTTGCGGCTGGAAGGGCATCCACTGCGTAAAACATATGCTGGATTAGTTGGCAGTTCATTCCGCTGTGGTGACCCCTGATTAATAAAGGGACTGAGCTGAAATGAAAATGAATGAATGGATAAATGAATGAAAATAAACATGTTCACCTAAATTTTGACATTTTCCTCTCAAAAAGTGACTTAAAACCTCACCACAAAGTCTGTCAATTGGAAGCAGACAACAAAACGGGACGTCTCGTTTCAAAACTTTCATTTTAAGTTGCCATTACGCGCGTAAAAGAAAGAAGTCTACCAAAAGAGACGGTGCACAAGGGATTCAAAAGGGTGAAGACACAAGGTGACCTACTGTACCCACCAGAACTGACTGAAGATGTAAATGAAGATGCTATAATGAGGTAATGTTGGCGCGTGTGCGTGTCGTGCTCGTGCGTAAACGTGGACGCACCGGCAGCGTGCGCGCTATTGGTCAGCTGAGCGCACGCGCGGGATTGCGGAGGATCTGCGTTGCATCGCCAGTAAAAGCAGCCTGCGCTATGGGGAGACACGGAGGTGTAGCGTGACGTTCAGCACACAGGATGAACATGGGATTTAATAGGCTTCACTAAAATTCGTAGGTCTGTATTCGGATATGCTGCCTTAAACGTAGCGGTGTAATGGATATCTTAATTTCCGCGCAGTCTAAAATCCTCATGAAGGTTAAAGGCAAAATCCTTCAGCCCAGAAGCATCTTCACAACGTACGACAGCTGGAATTGTGTGATTCGTGACATCGCTTTCGGCACGAGGAAAATGACTGGCACACTGTAAAGGTAAGCGGGCACAAAGAAAGACAGACCCCGGGTATTTGTTATTTAAAATGTAGGGGTATAATCTGGTATTAAAACGCGAAAAGGAGCGATGCGGATAATTCCCCCTCCTCGAGGATGCTTCATGTAAGGATTCATCTGTGTGGGCAAGTGTTAGTTAATGATAGACTCCCCCGATTTGGTGCAAGTGATGCGATCACGTATTGTGTGTGTGTAGACTACGTAATACAGCATCCTCTGTATGATCATCATGACATAGTTTGTGACAGGCGAACAAAATCTGAGGGAAATATAGATTATATCGTATACAATGTATGATTGCTTAAAGTAATAATTGTTCTAATATTGAATATAATCCATTTTAAACAAAGAATTTGTGTAGATGTGTACTAAACATTTTAAATTAAACTGTTACAAAATAAAATATAAAAATTATTTTATTAAATTAAATGGATATTTTATGACATGACAATATCATTTAATTATAGCTGCAATAACTAAAAATAAAATATACTATATATATATATATATATATATATATATATACACACACACACACAGAGTTGAAGTTAGGATTATTAGCCCCCCTGAAAAAATATTATCAGACATACTGTGAAAATGTCCTTGCTCTGTTAAACATCATTTGGGAAATATTAGAAAGACAAAAAAATCAAAGGGGCTAATAATTCTGACTTCAACTGTATATACAGTTGAATTATAGCCCTCCTTTATTTTTATTTAAATTATTTCAAGTATTTCCTAAATGATGTTTAACAAAGCTAGGACATTTTCAAAGTATGTCTAATAAGATTTTTTCTTCTGGAGAAAGTCTAATTTGTTTTTTTTCGGCTTGAATAAAATCAGTTTTTGATTTTTTTTTGATCTATTTTAGGGACAAAATTATTAGCCCCTTTAAGCTTTTTTTTTTTTTTTTTGACCATCATTATACAATAACTTGCCTAATTACCCTATCCTGCCTAGTTAACCTAATTAACCGAGTTGAGCCTTTAAATGTCACTTTAAGCTGTATAGAAGTGTCTTGAAAAATATCTAGTAGTCATTAGAGATGAGTTATTAAAACTATTATTTTTAGAAATGTGCTGAAAAAATCTCTCCGTTAAACAGAAATTGGGGAAAAAATAAACGTGTGTGTGTGTGTGTGTGTGTGTGTGTGTGTGTGTGTAATAAAAAAAAATATACATCAATAGTTTAGGATCAGTTTTTCTTTCTTCATGGTTTTTATTTTAAGAAAACTTATCTGTTCATCAAGGCGGCATTTATTAAATGTAAAAAAAATGTAACTGTTAAATATTTAATAAAATTTTAAATAACTGCTTTCTTATTGTTTGTAGTTTTAAATGAAATTAGTACTCCATTATTTTCTTATTACTATCATTAATAATAATAATAATAATAATTAATATTAGAGTGATTTCTGAAGGATCATGTGACTGACAGTACCTGGTAGTGTATGTGTACATACCATACCATTAGTTAATTTATTAATCCACTATTTACCATAGATGCATAATGAGCTATATATTTTACAGCATTAATTATTAACTAATTAATTAATTAATTAATCATTACAAGTTAATAAAAAATCATTTTAGTAAAAGCAACTTTTGCTCTTTAATAATGCATTAATAGCAATTGATATTAAGTAAGATTGATGCATCTAGTCGAAATTATTTGCTATAACCATAACCAATACTGTCAAATTGAAGCAATACAGAAACAGTTTGTTACATATTTCATATATATATATATATATATATATATATATAATATATACAGTTGAAGTCAGAATTATTAGCCCCCTTTAGATTTTTATTTTCTTTTTTAAATATTTCCCAAACAATTTTTTAACAGAGCAATGAAATTTTCACAGTATGTCTGATAATATGTTTTCTTCTGGAGAAAGTCTTATTTGTTTTATTTCGGCTTGAATAAAAGCAGTTATTAATTTTTTTAAAAACATTTTTGGGACAAAATTATTAGCCCTTTAAGCAAATTTTTTTTTTAGATAATCTACAGAACAAACCATCATTATACAATAACTTGACTAATTAACCTAACTTGCCTAGTTCACCTAATTAACCCAGTTAAGCCTTTAAATGTCACTTTAATCTGTGTAGAAGTGTCTTGAAAAATATCTAATAAAACATTATTTACTGTCATCATGGAAAAGATAAAATAAATGAGTTATTAGAAATAAGTTTTTAAAACTATTATGCTTAGAAATGTGCTGAAAAAAATCTGCTCTCCATTAAACAGAAATTGGGGGAAAAAATTAACAGGGGAGCTAATAATTTAGGGGGGCTAATAATTCTGACTTCAACTGTATTTCAATACAGTATATCATGTCCTCTTGCCATTCCAAACAGTTCATCTTTGGAACGCAAATGAACATAATTTTAATCCTGTCTCTTCACTTCTATAGTCTTTGGAACAATTGGAAATATCAGAGTTTTGAACACACACTTGTCCCTTGTGTAGTTTTAAATGAGGAAAAGTGTAACGATCAATATGGCGAATGAAGCCCCGTCTTCTGCTACAGGAGCCAATAAGTGATCATTGTAGACTGATGATTCTCCGGGGAAGAGTTTGGAATAGATAGGACACTATACTGTCAGTGAGCACCATCTTTCGGATAAGTAATTTATTAACCGATTTTCGGTTAAATCGAGGTCCTGAATCTCTGTGGTCATTAAAAATCCTGTGGCACTTCCCAAAACAGAAAAGAAATTGGGGGAAAAAATAAGCAGGGGCGCTAATAATTCAGGGGGGCTAATAATTCTGACTTCAACTGTGTGTGTGTGTGTGTGTGTGCGTGTGTGTGTGTGTGTGTGTGTGTGTATGTATGTATATATATATATATATATATATATATATATATATATATATATATATATATATATATATATATATATATATTTATTTATTTATTTATTTATTTATAGTGTAATTTAAAAATGTTTTGCTTCTCTTGATTTTTCCTAGTTTTTAAATTTCTATTTAACTTTTTCCTATAACATATAAATGTGGTCGTACTAGTTTTTAGACCGTTATCGTAAGTTATTTTGTTAGATAAGCTCCAGATTTGGCTTCAGGACTGTCTAATCTAATGTATATGCACACATATATAGTTATAATATATCCTATTAAAAATATGAATTTAAAAGATAGATTTGTGAGGCGTGTACCCGTACGCTGCGCACTGTATGTTCTCGATTGGCGTTGATGACTTCGCATGTGCAATGAAATCCTATGAATTCCAAACGTTTCTCAATTCTTCCTTATTCATTTAATGACGATTTAACTTGAACTGTAATGTTTAATCGGACACTTAATCTCTACTTATCTTTAATCACCAGACATTACACCTATTTTATACAAATTCTGTCTGCATTCTGTGGCTGAATGATAAAGCTGTGCTGTAACAGATCCCGAATGCTGTTTTTACCCATCACAGCCTCCGATATTAATCCCCCGAGAAGAATGCTGCAGCAGAACAACAACAATAACTGCTTGGACATGACCCACAGGGATCTACTGAATGAGTGCCGAAGAACCAATGTTTCATTCACCAGTGCCCTTGAGTTTGGAGCCATTCCCCTGATTAAAGGCCTGAGAGCATGGGCTGTGAGTGGCGGCTACTCTAAAGCCAGGAGAAAGGCTAATATTGGACCACGGGCACAGGGCACATGCCAACAGCCCCATGAAAACAGGGTGGGGCAGAGAAGCTGGTCGGCTCCGGTCAGCAGTGGTTATGGGCACGCATTGGAAAGCACAAGTAATGCAACGAGAGCTCCAGGGGTACGGCAAGGCGGACTTGGTGCACTTGTGACTGTGGCCACTTTGAAAGGCACAGAAGCGGGAGGCAGACAGACTCAGACTCGCTGCCTTTTTCTCAAAGCCCAGGGACGAGGCAGCTATATCTGTGCTGTAGGAAACCGAGGGGCAGGGACGAGACTTGTCAGTCCAAGGACTCACACTGTCATCCTCGAAGGGCCGAAGGAGGAGCTTAGACGTTCCTCTAGGGGACCGAGAGCGAGCCAGGATGGGACGGATGAAGGCGGGATGTTCAAGGCCAAGCCGAGGGCTATAAGAAAATGGAGGAAGTGCAGTAAAGCAACAGGCTCAGTGGAGAAAAGAACAGCAGCTCACGGCAGTGGGGAGATTAGTAATCAGTGCATTGAGCTGGAACATGGTGATCAAAAAAGTGCAGAGATTTCAGACACACCAGATAACACCATCACACAATGTCAAGAAGCAACCAGTGCAAATCAGAAAGACCTCAATGATGCAGTTAAAGCTGAAGAGGGTCGACCTGTTGCACCTGAAAACTCTTCTGCAGAAGCATGTGCCAAACTAGATGAGCAGGTTGAACCTGGGATGAGTGATTATCAATTTAATAATGAATTCAAAACAGACTCAAATCGTGCCAATGGTGATGCGCAGGAGATTAGTCCCGATGATCGCCATAACATTAACAACTCACTTGATGACGTGCCAAACCTAGGATCATCTGTAGCACTTGAGAGTACTTCACATACAAAACTCTCCACAACAAACACTGAGCCCAGCGTAGATCATCCTCCCTCTGAAATCGCTGTTCAGAAGGATCAAGAATCCAGGCCAGATGAGCGCCTGCTAGAGCGTGAGAATCTACATTCGGTGGAGACGACCGAGCTCACAGCACTGAGCGATGACACTCCAGACACAAAGGCTACAGCCGTGCCCGAGGGCCGCTGCACAGCGGTGGGTGTTGAATGTAGCACTACAGAGAAGAAGAGGAGGCCGTCAGTGTGCTCGCCTCAGCAATTAATCACGGAGCAACTTGAAGTTCAGCAGTCTGACAAATCCTCTTCACGAGGTTTTACCGCACCAGCGGCTAATGTAACTGTAACCACCATTCACTCCCAGCCTAATCCTGCCCCAACCACCACTGCAGCCATAGCAACAGCCGTCCCAGCATTAGGCACAGGCGAGGAGGGGGCTGGAGGTGGAGACGTGCTGCTTGTGCTGAACTCAGAGTTGCTAACAGAGCCGGTGAGAGTTGACCACGGGGACACGGTGGCCGCTGACGAGGGATCTCTGGATGTGGGCGAGGAGGATGAGTTCGGGGCGTTCATGCAGGCGGGTGCGGAGCAACTGTGGACGGACGAGTCCAAGCAGGTCCAACAGTTGGCTCCAGGAGAAGATGACAACTGTGGTAAGTACACAACAGTCTTGAAAGTACATCACATTGCCACATTAGAAGTAGGCATATGGTCACCTTAGAATTATCAGGTTCTCTGACATTTTTGTCAAAATTGAGTTTTCACATATTCTTATTAAATGACAACTTATTTATGTTATGTGATGTTTTTGTATAAGTTGTTTACATTTGAACACTTTTATATAAAAACAAAAAAAAGGTTTCATCTGCAAAGTTGAGCTCTATAAGGTTCTTTCTGTGAACCAATCAGCATTTTTATGGCACGCATGATGAGAACTGTATTTAGAAATAGTTTTAAAACAAATCTTTGTGCTTAACAAACGAAATTAAATATGTAGGCTAATAAATGCCTTCAATGGAGTGCGTACAACACCGTTTCCTTATCCACGAAAGTAAAGAGGCTGAATGGAGGAGGCTCATTCTTTATCCTCTTGCTGCAGATGCTCTGTTTAACTGTTAAAAGCTAGTGAAGCGTTCAGTTTTTCCACTTACAGAGTCCACCATGTAAATAGCCAATGTGCCATGGTGCGACACAACTGACTTCTAAAGGGAGTGGAAGATGAGAAATTGCCGTTTTACTTTTAATTCAGTATCGTGACAAGCCTAATATAGTGAAAGAATCAGTTTATTAACTCGAGTTTGATGAATGGCATCTAAAACGTGTGTTTGGGAAAGAAAATGTTAGCTAACTAGTGCCATTTCCCTTAACTTAGCTGAAAATGAGCTCTAATGTCCCTTTTTACATTCACCATTCATTAAGAACGGACCTCCGGGTCACCCGGAAGGCGGAGAAATGATAAATTTGTGCCACTTTCTCTTCGCTGATAAGATATAGCCAGCTACACAACATTCCTATGTAACTCCCAATGATACTTCCGGCTTTCTTCCCACCGCAGCCTCGACTTCGCTTTTGAAAATGGCGGCCGCGTGAAGTCAGTCTATGTAATGGCAACTACAAAAGCATTTATTAATCTCAAGTGACGTGAATTCATTAGTTAATATCTATTAACACCTTAAAATCAAAAGTCATAATTCTTTTAATAAATTGAGTTATAACTCATAAAATTCTGTTGTATTTTACTTTATTAACTTTAATATAAGTATAATGTTTCTCAATGTTCATTTTAATGATGAGACTTTTTGTTAAAGTGTTACGCCCGGGGCGTCAGCGTCAACGCTTCCCATTCACTTTGAATGGGTGATGTCAGGCGTTGCCGAACTGCATTGTGGATCCTTTCAACACCGCTTCAGAGGCGTTGCTCGCTGCAGAAGTTGGGACTAGCTCAACTTTTCAAGCGCCGACGGAAGCGTCAGCCAATTAGATCGCTGTATGCAAATACACCAGCTCAGATAGTGGTCTAATGCTGACTGTATTTCATTGGCCGACGCTTCCATGACGATCACTTCAGCCCCAACTTCAGACACGCCTTCAGTCAAGCGTTGTCGCTGAAGCCCCCTGTGAATGGGGTGTTACCTATTGTGCTTAATCATCCTTTCCTTTCAATGTCATTTGTTCAAAACTTTTATTTACTCTGAACATCTATACAAAACAAAGCAGCATACTGAGTATTCGTTGGTTATTAAACCTGTTAAACTAACCTTTTTTTGCAGTTTAGGTGAGTATCTTGATAATAATCACAACAGGAAAATGTGATATATAGAAGCCCAATTAAAGGAAGGCACAGTAAGTTCTCTTTGGGAGCAGGATCCTGTCTTTGTTTGGGTGTCAGTGGCCAGATACACATGCCGTCCCAGTACTAAATAGTCTGTTTAGATTGACCTGGATTCCTGCAGACCCCCTCGCTTTCCCGACCTCATGTGAAGATATTAATTATTTAAAGCACTACTTGGAATTCCTATCCCCCCAACCTCTCACTCCCCCTGTTGCTGTGTACCAGCCTAAGGCAGGAGGCAGCATTAAAAAGACATGCAAACACAAGGCCACTGGGAGCAGAGGGGAGGCCAACCAGCGTGTCTAAAAGCAATGGCTTGATCACAAAATAAGGACAAACTCTGCATTATTTATTCATCCGCTGTATTCTGCTGATAATTTTCAATCAAAAGCAAAGGCTTTCCCCTTTAATAATATCATTACATTTCTGGCAGTCACTGTGTGATCTCAATCCACAGGATTAATCCTGTTCTGTAAAAAGGTGAAAAGCAGGTAGTCTGCGTAAACAAGGTTTGACCTACTTTCTGTAGTTTTTAGTTCCGAAATAAGGTCACCCAAGTGAATCTTATAAACGACAAATAAGTTATTTCTGGAATCAATTTAACATGCCTTTCCATTCCAGGCTTATTGGGAAAAACATGGCCAAGGCAATATTTCTGCTAAATTATATTCTGTTGCTTCTGACACATTCAAAGTGAAATGTGCAGTGTGTGATTGTTTGTTGTGTTGCAGCATGTGGAAATTATATTTTGGGGAATGGGTACAAAATCATAAGTTCCCTTTTAACTTACTACCCTAAAGTAAACAACAACTTAAACTTGACCAGGGGTCTCTGTTCTTCGTATCTTGCTTAAATGATCTAAGATGATTTGACAGATCCTGGATTTTTTTTAATCTTGTTAACTGATCTCTGACTAATTTGGTTCTTCAAACAAGTTTGCGAATCAGATTAAACTGATCTGAGATCGCTGCGTGTGTTGAGAGGGACTGATCTATCGATTCTCGAAACAATGATCAGCAATGCAATGACTGGCTGACGTCACAACAGCATAATGACATTAATGTTCAATTATCCATTTGAGCAAAACGACATCAAATTTGTAGTAAATGTTTTGTTAGATGCGATACGCAATCACTTTCCACATTTATTTCCTCTTTCAGAGCGGATTTTCTTTAGTAGGTGTAACAGAGTTACAATTGCACTCTGTTAAAATTATAACATTTTTCAAATTATTTTGTGAGTTTTTATTTATTTAAATATTTTATTTCATATTTTATCATTTTAAGAATGATTTTGGAGTCATTTTCATTTATTTACCGTGGCAGTGTTTAACCTGCACACCGCCCCTTTTTGTACCTCTTGTGTTGCCGTAGTTGTTTTTTTTCCCCTCCCACCCTCACAATGCTGCTGTGTATTGATGAGGGGGTCGGATGTGCAGTGCAGGCAGAAGACAACATAATTGTGTTTAATTGTCTTCTCCAGGACTATATAAAGTGAAGGAATGCAGCTCTTGGTGTCGTCTCAATGTCATTGAGTGAAAGTAGATCCGTTACATAGGCTTATTCAAGTTTCTTAATAACTGGCGGTTCAAACTAATTTTGCATCAAAAAAGCATTTTGATATCAGTAAAGGTATATCTGCGACTTTTGTGAAGCGTCAAATCATCGTCATATTAGCTGTCAAATCGTGTGCATGACTACATAAATTCTTTAAAAAAAGAAAACAAACGAGAATATTGTTGGCACTTCTTGTAAAGAGTAGTGGTGTTACCTTGGTGTCCTGGCCAAACTCCCTTCATCAGCCCTTACCCAGACATCCCAAGTTGAGAATAGTCATTCCCGGACTAGATGTTGCGGTAATGTGTATTTTTGTGGGAGTTCTGTTACGTGAAACATTTGAGGGGGTGCTAGATGAATGTGAAGAGTGTCTGAGAGCGAGGAGGGATCCGGTGAGGGGTGAGAAAGGTGCACGACTTATTTGAGGGCCGGGCGGGAGACGCACAATGTTCGGGAGATTATCACTCGTTTGCGGGCATTCCGGTCTCCCGGAACTTCCAGATGACTTGGGATGTCTGCTTACCCATCATGGCCTCCCATTCATCCTCATAAACCGAATTAACTCTAACACTGTCTCTCCACTAAACCTATAGCTGGTGTGTGTGAAGAGCGCACTGGCGCTGTTATCCCATGGCTGCTGTCGCATCATCCAAGTGGATGCAGCACACTGGTGGTGGTGTGGAGAGACACACCCATCCACCCCCCCCCCCCAACCCCCCCCCGCTCCTCATGCTTTGGGTCTATGGCCATACATGATAAATGCACTATATACATAACATAACATTACTTACTTATTTATTTACTTACTTCAATCCAGCTGGAAACTGCAGAGATTAGTATGTACAGATGTGCTTTTGGGGTAGCAAAAAATACGTATGTGGATGTTTTACAAAGAGCCCATGTTATTCATTTCTACAAATGTCTATAAAACTCAATAGACATTTAGTTTACAGAGTATACAAAATCAGACAACTGAAGTATGGTTCAACACTTGTCGGTTATTGCACTTAGCATTTGGTACTACAGTTTGTGAAACCTTTTGACCACAGAAAGCAGAACATCTTCCAACTTTTAAAGAGATTTAGATATTTTAGACTTACATGAGTCTTTATCTTCTCCTAGAACAACACACCAGTTCTGCTGAAGCAAATGAACCTGCATCCTGGGCATCTGATTGGACGGTGGTTCAGTCATGCCAGCAGTCAGAGAGCACATGGGTGGCCTTCAGCCAGGAGACTGCTGAGCAGAAGATAGTGCCTGGTGAACAGTGGTGGCCTTCTACCGAAAACCCAAAACTTTCCCTCTCTCCTCTTCATAATGTGGTAAAGTGGTTATAATAACTATTCTTATAGATTAATGACAAGAATTTCAAAGAGAAGGTTCGCCCAAAAATGAAATATTTTACCCAACCATTTCTGCTGTTGAGCACAAGTAAGATATTTTAAAAAAAGCTGGTTTCTGGCAACCATTAAGCTCCATAGTACTCTTTTTCCTACTATAGAGGTTGGTGGGTGCCAGCATTCTTCAAAATATCTTCTTTTGTGTTCAACAGAAGAAAAACAACTAAATGTTTAAAACCACACAAGAGAGAATAAACAATGAGGTGATTTTCATTTTAGGGTAAACTATACGTGAAGATACTGTATTTAAATCCTAGCTGAGATATGATATGAAAATTGGTAACACAGTTAAAGGGATAGTTCACAAAATGAAACTGTACTCAGTATTTTCTCAGCCCTCAAGTGGTTTCAACCCATTATGAGTTTCTTCATTCTGTTAAACAAACAGTTGAAAATGTTACAAACCTGTAACCATTGACTTCCATAGAAAAAACAATACTATGGAAGTCGATGGTTTCAGCATTCTTCAAAATGTCTTCTTTTGTGTTTAACAGAAGAAAAAATGTAAATGTTTAAAAGCATGTGAGGGTGAATAAACAATGAGGGGATTTTCATTTTAGGGTGAACTATACTTGAAGATACTGTATTTAAATCCAAGATGAGATGTAAAGATATGATATGAGAAGGAAATTGGTCACCCAGTTAATGGGATAGTTCACTCAAAAATGAAAACCATGCCATCATTCACTCACAAAATTTTGGAAAATGCTTGCACCCATTGATTTCCATATGATTTTTTTCCTGCTATGGAATTTGATGGATGCCAACATTCTTCAAAATATCTTCTTTTGTGTTCAACTGAAAAAACTCAGGAAAGTTTAAAACAACATAAGGTTATTTCCATTTGAGGTTTTTCTAGGTCTTTACAGACACAGAAAATAATACATTAAAAACCCTATCTGAAAAGTAAACATATGTCATGAGAAGGAAATCAGTTGCACATTTAAAGGGATAGTTCACCGAAAAATGAAAATTTTCACTCAACCATCACTATTTCTGCTGTTAGACAAAAAAAGATACTTTGAAAAATGCTGGTATCTGGCACCCATTAACTTCTATAGACATTTTTTCCTCACTCAAGAAGTTGATGGGTCCCAGCATTCTTTAAAATATCTTCTTTTGTGTTCAACAGAAGAAATTAACTTGTAAAGGTTAAAAAAAAAACACATATGGGAAAATAAACAATAATGTCATTTTCATTTAAGGTTGAAATATCCTCGAAGATACTGTATTTAAATCCCTAGCTGAGATACGATATGAGATGGAAATTGGTAACACAATTAAAGGTATAGTTCACCCCAAAATAAAACTGTATTCAGTATTTACCCATTATACGTTTCTTTATCCTGTTAAACAAACAGTTGAAAATGTGACAAACCTGTAACCATTGACTTCAATAGTAAGAAAAACAAATACTATGGAAGTAAATGGTTTTAGCAGTTTTCGACAGGTTTATTATGACAAGTGACTGAATCTAAATTTTCAGTTTTGGGTATCCTATCCCGTTAAGCAGTCCTTATTAGACTAAAAAGTTGACCTAAATAAAGCCATGTGATAGTTATTGACCCACTCACTGCCCTCATCACTGTCAATTCCCTAATGACTTTTATTTGCTTGCATGTGCGTTTGTGTGTGTGTGTAGTCAAATGTGTTTCTAGAGGCCTTTCCCTCAGAAGAATCCCCCTGTGAAGATCCTGGATACATTCCCACACTAAAGCAACTTCTGCAAGGACCAGCTGAAAACAGCAATACAGGAGAGCGCAGGTATGTTGCATTATTCACAGCTAATCTTGTATGTCCAATATGACATCTGGTAAAAATCTGACAAGCGTGAAAAATGAAAAAAATGTTCAGTTTAGGGTGATATATCCTTTCAATTTTTACACCACGATTACAACATTTTTTATGAACATAAAAATTACCCAATAGTTCCCCCTAAACTGAAAACTGGGTCATCGTTTACTCAACTTTTACAAGCCTGTTTGAGATTCTTATTTCTGTTGAACACAAAATGTATTATTTTGTTTATGTTGGAAACCTGTAACCATTGACTTCCACAGTGTTTGTTTTTCATTCTATGGAAGTCAATGGTTACAGGTTTCCAACATTCTTCAAAACATCTTAATTTGTGTTTAACAACAAAAATAAACTCTTTAAAAGTTGAAAACAAGTAAATGATGACAGAATTTTAATTTTAATTCTTAAAGGCATAGTTCACCCTAAAATTTAATTCTGTCATCATTTATTTGTTTGGAATCTTTAAAAGATTATTTTTTGTTAAGCACAAAACAAGATATTTTGAAAAATGTTGAAGACCTGTAACTATTGACTTACATAGTATTTGTTTTTCCTACTTTAGAAGTCAATAGTTACAGGTTTCCAACATTCTTCAAAATATCTTCTTTTAGTGTTTAACAGAAAAAAAGAAAGAAAAATACAATTAAAAACAGCAAACAAATAAAAACATTAATTAAATAAAACATTTAGTGTTAATACATGGGCCATAATGTAAGAGCAATTGTGCAGTACGAACCCTGAGTGGGGTCTTCACCTTTAAGCAAAAAAAAAAACATGGGTTTTCAGTTTTGGGTCAACCAAAATTGAAAACTGGGTCATCATTTACTCAACTTTCACAAACCTGTTTGAGTTTCTTATTTCTGTTGAACACAGAAATTAATTATTATGTTTATGTTGGAATGAAACCTGTAACCATTGACTTCCACAGTATTTGTTTTTCCTACTATGGAAGTCAATAGTTACAGATTTCCGACATTCTTCAAAACATCTTCGTGTTTAACAGAAAAAGGAAATTCATAAAGATTTAGAACCATTTGAGGCAAAGTTAATACACTGAAATAAATGATGCTCTGTATTTACTGACAATTATTAAGGCAAATGGTTGCAAACAATTTTATGGGCTGAATTTAAAGTTGAACATTACTAAATTTAATGTTTGTTTAAATTCAACCCTCAAAACATTTTAGTAAATCAAATGAATCAGTTTTGTGAGTAAATTTACATTTTTGAGTGGTCTATCCCTTTAAAAGGGACAAAAACTGAATGTTCAGTACTGTGGAGGCTACAGGAAATGTTGACAAATCCCTGACATAAATTACGTTTCTACTGCCACCTTGTGGCAACACAAGATACATCCGCATTTCATCACAACACAAAGACCTTATTGTTTTGCATGAAATTCCGGTTTTTATCCTCTTGAATTGACCAAAAGTGTAAAACCAATGTTTCTCTGGTGATTTCACATTCAATAAAAGTATCTGTTTTTCTTGTTACATGCTATTAAGTTCCAAGTTAATCATTTTGCTTTGGCTCAAAGGGAACAGAGCTTACTTGATGGCCTGCAGGATCTGGACCGGATGATTGGTGTGAAATATAAGAGGGCGGAGTCTCTGTCTTGTAAGCTTCTCCTTCAGTCACTGCATTTGGAACAATCCAGTTCTGTAAGTATAATGAAACGTGAAACCGCTGCATTAAACTATTCTGAAGAATTTCCTTGGTATCAAAACAGCATCAAATATTATGTTTGCACACAGATTGTTTTATTTTAATACAGCTAAGTGTATGTTTTCAACATTTAAACCACACCATCCTCCTTTTCTGCTTCAGGAATGCGTGACGGTTCGACTGAAGTCCACCGCCAGGTTTTCTCCCAATCTCCCATCATCCAACCAACAGTTAGCTGCAAATGCTAAGAGAAGACTGTCATATGACTTTAACAGAAACATCATGACCTAGTCTCACGTTTGACCTATGCTTCCTTGAAACCAGGAGATTCAGGGAAGAGGAATAATGCATCCAGAATAACCGATTCACCCCTGGATTGACTTCTGTTCACCATTTGCTTCAAGTGTATTCCTTCTTTTAATGTCTGTTCTCACTCTGTGTCTGGTAGATTCTGTTTTTCATTCAGCTGTATATCAGCAAATATACACTACTTGACAAAAGTCTTGTCGACTATTCAAGTTTTAGGAACAACAAGTACTTCTAGTTGATCATTTGGTATCAGAAGTGGCTTATATGAAAGGTAAAGGCCACTGATTACGCTTATTTTACCAAAATAAAATATGATCATGCCTTGATTTTTCATTATTTAATTAGGACAGTAAGGTCTGACTTTGCTTAGACAAAAGTGTTTTCAATTAACAGAAATAATGTGCAGTATAGAATATAAAGTCATGAATGAATATCGTGTATGACTCCCATAATCTTGGAGGACTGCATCCATACATCTCTGCAATGACTTAAATCACTGATTATTAAAGTCATCTGGAATGGCAAAGAAAGCGTTCCTGCAGGACTCCCAGAGTTCATCAGGATTCTTTGGATTCATCTTCAATGCCTCCACCTTCATCTTACCCCAGACATGCTCAATAATGTTTATATCTGCTGACTGGGCTGGCCAATCCTGATGCACCTTGACCTTAATAGCTTTCAGGAGCTTTGATGTGGAGGCTGGAGTATGAGGAGGAGCGCAATCCTGCTGAAGAATTTCCCCTCTCCTGTGGTTTGTAATGTAATGGGCAGCACAAATGTCTTGATACCAGGCACGTGCACACATAGGGCTCAACCTGTGCCGTGCACATGCCCTTTTTAGTCTTGGATAGAAAGTGCCCTTCTAAAATGATCAAAAGTGCCCCCGCGACACCCCCCCTCCCCCTACCGCCCTTCAGTAAGCGCGCGACAACACCGCTTTTGAGTATGCCCCCATCCCCCCCACTGCTTTACATTACGCGTGTGACAACACCGCTGATCAGAACGCGCGCAACAACAACAACAACATCCCACCCCCTTTTCAGTACGCGCGCAACAGTCGTCCCCCCCCCCCCCCCCCCCCCCCCCCCCTTGGACAGTCTCTGAACGAGCCTGCTTGATACCTCAGGCTGTTGATGTTGCCTGTGGTATCTGCAGATCTCTCACACGCCCACATACTTACATTTACATTACATTTAGTCATTTAGCAGACGCTTTTATCCAAAGCGACTTACAAATGAGGACAAGGAAGCAATTTACACAACTATTAGAGCAACAATGAATAAGTGCTGTAGACAAGATTCAGGTCTGTAAAGTCTAAGAAGGAAAATATTAGTATTTTTTTTTTTTGAGTGCAGTTAGTGGTATACATACTAAATGTAACCCCAAACCATGATTTTTCCTTCACCAAACTTGACTGATTTCTAAGAATCTTGGGTTCATGCTGGTTTCAGTAGGTCTTCTGCAGTATTTGTGATGATTGGGATGCAGCTCAACAGATGATTAACCAGAAAATCAACCTTCTGCCACTTTTCCAAACGATCAACTAGAAGTCAAGTTATTATTTGTTCCTCTTACAACTACGATCGACGACGAGACTTTTGTCAGGTAGTGTTTGTTTATCCAGTATGTAACCCCAGAATAGCGGAGTTCAATTAGGACAAAGTAAAAGAAAAAAGGAATTGCCAAATTGTCTAATTATTGAACTCATTTTGATATAACTGATATTGTATTAATCAGATATATAAAAAAAAACAAATAGGTCACTATGGATTTGTGCATTGCTTTCAATCAATGCTTTGGATTATATTTGTTAGACTTTTTGTGGAAATTGTTTGTGCAAATTCTCACAGCGGTATAGATTCGATCTGGCCTGTCACGCTCCAACCCCACATCCCAACTTTCCTTTCTATTGACTTGATATGATAAACGCAAGAGATGTAAGATAACAAAAAAAATCTCTCCTTTACCTAAAAACTGTCAAAAGCAAGCAAATATCCACAAAATGTATTTTCATACACCACCATGTCCCCGTGTCTTTGATCCCTGTGCTTGGAGTACTAAATATGACACTAGTGTAACATTTTTAACTCCCGAAGAATAGAGACCATATTTTCAGAAGTGTTTTGAAGTGAATGTTAACATTTTAAATTGAACCTGTAAGCTTGTTTGTTGATTGATGTAATTAAAACCTCTTTAAAGGACCGAATGAAGCCGATAACTCTGAGGTTTCAGCCATTCAATGTATCTTAAGTGTCCCAACAAGGTTATTATAGTGACATTTTTCCATTCATTCATTCATTTAATTTGGCTTAGTCCTTTATATATCAGGGGGCACCACAGGGGAATGAACCGCCAACTATTCCAGCATATGTTTTACGCAATGGATGCCCTTCTAGCCACAACCCAGTACTGGGAAGCACCCATACACTCACATTCATACACTACAGAAAATTTACAAGCCTATTAATTTTATTCACCTATAGTGCATGTCTCTGGACTGTGGGGCAAATCGGAGCACCCAGAGGAAAACCACGCCAACCCAGGGAGAACATGCAAACTCCAGACAGATATGCCAACTGGTTCATTCAGGACTTGAACCAGCGACCTTCTTGCTGTGAGGCCACTAAAACTTCAGTTTAGTTTGCTTGATTAATGGTTTTGTTAGTTTAATTTTTTTGTCAACACATTTCTATTTAGCTTGTTATATATTTAGTTTTAGTGATTGTAGTTTATCAGCGGTAACAAAGCATCCAGTGTCGACCAGAGCAAAGTTTAGTGTTTGCACAAGTAACAATTAACTTTTGTGCTATTAAAATAATTGCTAGAACAAAAATACTGAATCAAAATGCAACTTAAATAAAACAAAAAATATATGAAGAGTTCAGATGCAAAAACCTCTAAATGCCATCTGAGATTTCCCTCAAAAACATTTATCACAGCCTTCTTTGTTTATGTTGAGATATTTCACTTTTAAAACCAGGAAAAGGACTTACTCTTCGCCATAAAAGTGATATTACTGAACATACACACAAGAGCCTGATGAAAATCCTAATTTTAGTGGAAAATTTTAGGTGACATTTAGAGGTTTTTGCATCTAAACTCTTCATATAGATATATACTTCAGTTTGATTCTGTCTTTCAGGGAAAATATTGCCAGCTACATAGTATTATAGCTACTATTAACTCTTTAACTTCTAATAATCAATTGATTTAACACAACAATCGTCATGTCACAAAATTCCACAGCGACAAAATAAAAGTTTTTAGCCTTGTATATCTTGAAGACATTTTGCAAGAAATAAATTACTATACAAAACCTTCAATAACATTAATAATAACTTAATACTAATTTATAATTATTTATTTATATTACTTATTTTAACCGTTAAATTATAAATAGATGAATGAACAAATGAAGCTGGAAAAAGGCAAGGCAAGGCAAGTTTATTTATGTAGCACATTTCATACACAATGGCAATTCAAAGTGCTTTACATAAACAAGAATAAAAGAAACAAGTAAAATAAAAATAAAAACAAATAATAAAAATGCATAAAAACAAAACAAAACATAAAAACAGGTAAAATGTGATATAAAAGAATGAAGAAGAAGAGAAAAACATGATAGTGCAATCTGTCGGACGCAGCACAGTGCTCATTCAGTAAAGGCACAGCTAAACAGATGTGTTTTCAGTCTTGATTTGAATGTGCCTAATGTTGGAGCACATCTGATCATTTCTGGAAGCTGATTCCAGCAGCGAGGGGCATAGTGGCTAAAAGCCGATTCACCCTGCTTTGACTGAACTCTTGGAACTTCTAGTTTATATGATCCTAAAGATCTGAGTGATCTGTTAGGTTTGTATTCAGTGAGCATATCTGTGATGTATTTAGGTCCTAGGCCATTTAGTGATTTATAGACCAGTAATAATACTTTAAAATCTATTCTGAATGTAACTGGCAGCCAGTGTAAAGACCTGAGGACAGGTGTGATGTGCTCTGATTTTCTGGTTCTGGTTAGAATTCTGGCTGCAGCGTTCTGGATGAGCTGCAACTGTCTGACTGTCTTTTTAGGAAGGCCAGTGAGGAGTCCATTACAGTAATCCACCCTGCTGCTGATAAAAGCATGAACAAGTTTTTCTAAATCTTCACTAGAAACAAAGCATCTGATTCTTGCTATGTTTTTGAGATGATAGTATGCTGATTTACTGACTGCTTTGACATGACTGTTGAAACTCAGATCTGACTCCAGAGTCACACCAAGATTCTTGACCTTATTTTTTGTCGTTTGACCTTTAGTGCCAAGGTACGCATTTACCTTGAGAACCTCATCTTTGTTTCCAAACACAATAATTTCAGTTTTCTCTTTGTTTAACTGAAGAAAGTTTTGGCACATCCAATTGCTCATTTCATCAATGCATTGGCAGAGGGTGTCAATGGGGCTGTAGTCATTAGGCTGTAAGGCTAGGTAGATCTGAGTGTCATCAGCATAGCTGTGGTAGGAGATTTGGTTCTTTCTCATTATTTGGCTTAGAGGGAGCATGTAAAGGTTGAACAGGAGAGGTGCCAGAATCGAGCCTTGTGGGACTCCACACGTCATGGGTGTCCACCTCGACCTATGGTCACCTATACTGACATGGTAACCTCTACCTTCTAGGTAAGATCTAAACCATTTGAGGACCGTGCCAGATAGCCCGACCCAGTTTTCCAGCCTATCCAGAAGTATGCTGTGATCGACAGTGTCAAATGCAGCACTGAGATCCAACAATACCAGCACTGTTATTTTACCTGAATCTGTATTTAGGCGTATATCATTGATTATCTTTATAAGAGCGCTCTCTGTACTGTGATGTGCTCTGAACCCCGATTGAAAATTGTCTAAACACCCCCTGAAGTTTAAGAACTTGTTGACCTGGTTAAAAACAACTTTTTCAATGATTTTGCCAATGAAAGGGAGATTTGAGATTGGCCTGTAATTGCTCAATAGGGTGTTATCCAGGTTGCTCTTCTTCAAGAGGGGTTTAACAACTGCAGTTTTAAGTGAGGTTGGAAAAATCCCTGAGAGAAGTGAAGCATTTACCACTTTTAGAAGATCCATTTCTAAACAGGTAAACACCGTTTTGAAGAATGATGTGGGGAGCGTGTCAAGACTGCAGGTTGATGTTTTCATAACTTGCACAGTCTCTTCTAAGATTTTGCTGTTAATTGCCATGAAATCAGACATAGTGTCTGATTTCTTAAGTTGTGGTTGAGCTTGTTTGATATCGAC